TATTCACTTTTATGTCCCACAGCCCCAGTCCTTGTCCCACACAGTGGGGAACTCAATGAATGTAGAATTTCTTAACAAAGTACAATAATCACTTACTGCAAACCCACTAGGTGCCATGGGCTTTTTGGAACCTTCCCAACAACTCTATTTAGATAAGGAAACAAGCTTAAGAGTTAAAGTGACATACGCAGGGTCCCATGGCCAATAATGGATCATCCTAAAAGCACCCCCAGTCAGCTTAAAAGCCAATGAGAGTGTCCTGATCACAGTGCACACATGTTCTCTTGGCAGAACGTGGATAAGTAGCACATTCCTAGGGCCCCTTTGGGACATGGGGGTTTGCTCTCTGGGACTAGGAGATCTTGTCTGATGAGGCTGCTCTCCAGCTTTCTTTCCAGGCTCAGGCAGAAGAGAGGCAGGTGTTCAGAACTGCTAGGTTCTGCCTTGACTCAAGGACCCAAAATGGGAAAATAAGGCAGAAGGGGACAGCAAGACCAAGGGGTGGAAGGAAGCGAGGAAGGAGGTGTGAAGACTCCCAGATCTCAGGCTGCTGAAGTGAGGTATAAAGTTGACAGTGGCTGCAGGCTGGACAGACCACACTCCAAGGCCAGGAGGCAGAAGGCCAAGGGTGGGCAACTTGTCAGTGAACTGGAAAGGCTCTGTGAGGAAGGTGCTGTCTGCTGGCCGCACCCATGAATGCACACATTCCCCCAGCCTCATGGGATGAGGGGGTTGTCTGCAGAGTGTGATGGTGGCAGGTGAGGTGGGTACTGGGAAGTAAGGGAAGGGAGTTGGGGCAAGGGGTTATTGGTTAAGTGTTCTCCACCCCTGTCCCCCAAGAGTGGGCCTGGGTAGGGACATGTCTGCCTCTTCTCCTAGGACAGGAACCATATGTGATTGGAGCACGCCCATTGCCTCAATCTGCTATTCCTAGGACTCTGCGTATATTGTCTTTCAATGCGGACCATTTATTTATATGATGTGTTTGTGTACCTGGTATGTATTGTCGACTGTATGTTGTGTTGCACTTCTGTGTGCAGTATGGGTGCAATTCATCGTTGGTGTATTCTTTCTCTCATGTGTCTGTGTTGTCACTGTGTTGTAGCTCTGTGCCTGTTACGTTTGTCTACCTTATATACATATATGTTCCCTTGTGTGTCTACGCTGCGTACACTCTCTCTCCTTTCTGAGCCTCTGTCTATGCCGTGTGTGTGCAGTAACTCTGTTGTGTGTATGTGGTGTGTTGTGACTTTTGTCTGTGCTCTGTGCCCTGTGTTGTGTATCTGTTTTCACGTTCTGCTTGTGCTGTGTCTCCCTACGCGGGATGTCCACGCTGCAAGTGCAGGGCGTTGTGTGTCCCGCTCCGGCTGGCCTGGGTCTGTGTCTATGCCGTGTGCCTGTGCGTGTCTGCGCCAAGTGTCTGCACCGCCCTGCTGCGTGTCTGTGCCAGCTGTGTGCCGGTGCCTTGTGCGCAGAGTTGTGCTTGCTCAACAAGTGTGTGACCGGCCGTGTGCACCATGCGCGCGGGGTGGCGTTGCCGTGTGTGTCGCGCTGTGGCCGGTGCCTCCGCGGGGTGACCGAGCCGGGGCG